CCGCGCACCCCCCACCCGCCCCCCCCCCCACACCCCCCCCCCCCCCCCCCACCCACACCCACACCCCACACCCACACCCACACCCCACCCACACCCACACCCTACCCACACCCGACGAGCATTTCCATGTTGGGATGAGCCAAATTTTAAGGCTACATTTCATATAACATTAATTACACCGAAAAATCTTCGTGCTATTTCAAATATGACGATTAAATCAGAAGATGAATATAACAATGATAAAGAATGGAAAATAACGAAATTTGATCGTACACCAATCATGAGTACATATCTTGTTGCTTATGTTGTTGGTGAATATGATTATGTTGAAACCAAAGATTCAAATGGTGTTAGTATGAAAGTATAAACACCAGTTGGACAAAAAGAACATGGACAATTTGCATTAGATACTGCAGCAAAAGTTCTTCCATTTTATGCTGATTATTTTAATATAAAATATCCAATTGCTAAAGCTGATCAAATTGCTATTCCTGATTTTGCTATGGGAGCAATGGAAAATTGAGGCTTAGTAACTCATCGTGAAACAACACTTTTGATTGACCCAAAATTTTCATCCATGGATACACGACAACGCGTAGCTATTCTTGTTGCTCACGAACTTGCACATCAACGGTTTGGAAATTTAGTAACTATGGATTGGTAGACTGATTTATGGCTTAATGAAGGTTTTACTACATGGATTGAATATTTAGCTGTTGATAAATTTTATCCAGAATTTGATATTTCAAGACAATTCATTGCTGATACATTTGCAAGATTTCTTGTCCCGGATGCTTTGAAACCATCACATCCTATTGAAGTACCTATCGGTCATCCAGCTGACATCGATGAAATTTTCGATGCAAATGGGTTATACATTTTTAACTGTAAATGAAGAAAAAACAAATCGAAATCGTGTTCCTAAAATAAAACAACAACGTTTTATTGCTGATGGAAGTGCCGATGATGAAAATCTTCAATGGAAAATTCCTATTAGTGTTTTTACAAAATCTAATCCAAAACAAATTGCACAACAAGTTTTAATGAATAAACCAGAAATAACAATAACATTAGAAAATATGTTCTCGAAGATGATTGGATTAAATTAAATTTTAATTCAATTGGTCTTTATCGTGTTAAATATGAATTACAAACATTGGCACGTCTTAATGAACAAATTGCTTACCAAACAATAAGTCCACAAGATCGTCTTATGATACAAAATGATGTTGCTGCATTATGTAACGTTGGTCATCAGTCATTTTTTGATTATCTTAAACTTTTATCATCATATACAGATGAAGATAACTTCACTGTATAGAAAGCAATTGCATCAAACATGAATATACAGATTATTTTGATGAATTTAAAAAATATTGCTTAAAGTTATTTTCATCAATGCAAAACAAACTTGGTTGGAATGATAAACCAAATGAAGATCCACTTTCAGCTATGTTACGCCCAATGATATAAACTGTTGTTGGTAAATCTGGTAATCAAGCTATAATTGATGGATCAAAAAAACGTTTTGCACGTCATATTGCTGGAGATTTAATTGATCCAAATATTCGTGGAGCTGTTTATATTATTGTTTCATGTTATGGAGATGAAAATACTCAAAAAGAACTTCGTCAATTATATGTTGCTGTAAATATGACTGAAGAAAAAGTACGATTACTTTGTGCAATAGGTCAATCAATGAAACCAGAAATTATTGAGAATACATTAAAATTTGTATTCGAAGGAGATAATGTTCAAATACAAGATTCAATATCAGGTTTCGTTGGTTGTACATCATGTCGTGATGGACGAGATTTAGTTTGGAAATTTTTACAAAAAAATTGGAAAACACTTGTTGAACACTTTGGTGACAAGAGTAATTTTCTTATTTTTTTTGTTGAGAATGGTTTATCCGATTTTGCTGATGAAAAAGCCGCAAATGAAATAAAGGCATTCTTTGCTACAATGGATACACCAATCGTTGCACGACCAGTCAAAAAAGTCCTCGAAACAATTCATATGCGTTCTGAAGTACTAAAACGTGATTTAAAAGCCATAGAAAAATATTTAAAACAATAGTAATTATGTTGGATATAATATCATGTATAATAATCAAGACTTTTATCAAATCAAACAAAGAAAAACTAGACAAGCTGTAATTTAATGTGTTTGTTTTTCTTCTCTTTACTTATTCTATTAGAAATATTCCCATCTGCTTCTGTTTCTTTTAAGTTTATGTCATGTTCTAATAAAAATAAAGTTTAGAGAAAACAAATCAGTGAAAACTACGAACAAAACTAAATCTGATCAAATACTTGTTGCAATGACAGAAATATGTGGATTGACGGCAACATTGACCTACTAGAGCAACATTCAAGACATAAAATACAGTAGAAACAATTTGCTATGTCATTTGATATCTGTGGATCACATTATTGTACACAAGGAATTGTTGTTGTGTCTTTGAATATTCTATGGTAGTAGGCTATCTGTGTTGAACCTTCGTCTACAGGAAATATCATTCTAACTTATGGTATGGTATCTAGAAAACATGAAAGTAGATGAGTCTTATTGTGCGTATATATGTTAAAAACAGGGCAATGTTGACGATTGAAAAGGCAGATGACTAGAATTTTAAAATTCTTTGATCCAACATGGTAACCACTATGAAAACTTGATATAACAGTGTATTAAATATTATGCTACAGAGATATGTAACGCCATATCAATGTAAAAGAGTAAAGATTCAAACAATATTGTATCTAAAAAAAACAAGAAAGTGATGTTCATTTTTTGGCAAGGTTCTTCAGTTTGTAAAGATCAACGAATTCGAACTAAAATCATTTTTGAATATCTCTACATTAATATTCTTTAATTTTATGATGGAAGAATGATCAAACTATAATGACCATGAAATTAGTGACATTGAATTTCTTCGCTCAATATTTTTGTTTGGAATTCAAAGTATTTCCTATTGTTTGTTTTATTAATGAACAGTAGTTTTTTGAGACTATAATGTTGTTTAAATTGATTTTTGAGAGAAAGAAAGTTGGAAAAAGTTCAAAAACTACTTATTCAATGGCATGTATGGAAATCGATTGCAGTGTACAGTTCGACTTCATATTCACCACTAGCTTTGTTTTATACAAGTATCTTTTATTTGTTGAAGAAATAGTTGAACTTTGATCGAGAAATAAAAAAACATATATGAT